ACTCAGGATACTGAGATCAAATTTATTATCTTGAAAATATGCCGGTGTTTTATTGTTTTGTAGAAAATTCATATTAACAAAGAAACAGTACAATGAAATTTATGTAGAGTACACATTTACATTATGTTCTTATATGACATTTTAAAAACATACATGTACAAAATTAAAAACCATTGTTTTCTATAAGGAGATAGGAGATAGTGTTACAGCTTATTTTTAAAACTATTTTTGCTTATCTGTATTTTTCTAATTTATCTGAAAGAAGCATGCATTAGTAATTATGTGATAAGATAAAATATTATTAACATGTTTTTAACAAAAAACCCTCAATTTTAGAAGTATGGATAAATTACATTAGGTTAAAAACATATGTCAGAGTATAGGATAATATACTAGTTACTTTTCAAGGTAAGCCTGTGAATATTCTGAGCTTTCACTGAAAAATTCAACTGTGATTGGTAAACGTATTGCCATCATATAAATTCCTTCTGGGAAAACATTTATAGTCCTCATTGTCTGAAGAACAATTGAATTTAATTGCTCACCTCAGAACTGTTCCTCAGTTTTAAGAGACATGCGTAGTATTTAATTGGATGTCTCACTATTGAAACAAGCATATGGAAGAACTGGCTCCCTTTGTTCTTTTACGTTATCCTTTGTGTTCAGTCTTTCCATCACCTTTGTTAACTTTATCATTTGATTTTTTTTTATAGTGTTCCTCAGGCACCAACTTTCTCATCTCTTTAACCTTATCCTTCATAATGAGGTCATCGGGATGCAAAACTTCATCTTTTCAGAATTTCCTGTTTTTAATAACATTGATTAATGTGTTCTCCTATTTGGCATTACATTGCTATTTAAGTGTTGAGACTGTCAAAAGTACTATTTAAAAAAAAAAAAAACTTTGCAGAGGAGAAAATCAATGGAACTTTTCTTTCTAACCCTGAAAAGCAACTGAAATTTTGAAATGGATGTCCTAATGTATATATTTTACAAAGCAGTTTGTTTTTAGAGATTTGGATTAATTGGTAGCTATTAACAGTAAAAACAATGTTTGAACTATTAGAGTACCTAGACAAGCCATAGTATCTAAATTACTATAATTGGTTAAACTATATTTCACAAAAGTTTTTGAATATATATTGGATAAAAGTTAACATTCCCGATGCATAAGGATAGACTATACGATAACTTAATTTGACTGCAAGCTAATCCTTATAATAAATAACAGGAAAATGCACAGAGAAAATCTATCAGTGATAGATTGTCTATGAGTAGATCAGTGCATTGATAATTAAACTCTCTATTCATGGGCAAATTTAATTTTACGTGGAAAGTTTGCCTTAGTTAGCTAATCGGGGTTTTGGTTTAGATCACATGGAATGATGGTCTCAGCCTTCTTACCGAACAATTACAACAGGACATCCCTTCAGCAGGCAGCAGGCAGAGGATGCCTTCACAGGTGTTCTTTGGATCGACACCAGTGGAAGAGGGTTGGAGGTGGGGAAAGGGTGTAAGAGGGTGAATATGGTGCAACTACTGCATACACATGAAAGTAAACAGGGAAAAGATACCTGTTGAAACTATTTCTGAAATGGGGAGGTAATGAAGGAGAATGGTGGAAGCGGTGAATTCAAGTATGACATGTTTGATATAATATAAGAACCTTTGTAAATGCCACAATATACTCCTACCCAGCACAACAATAAAAGAAAATTAAATTTAAAAAAACAGGAACCTTGATTCTCTTCCAAAAAAAAAAAAAAAAGCTAATTCTCTTCTTAAAGAAACTTTTATTTCTGACTTTATTTTATTTTTTCTTCTTGGAGAGGGTATTTATTTTATTTTCAGTGACTGCTGTCACTGTCAATCTCTTTTTTTTTCTTTTAATCACTGCCCTAGGCATTTCTGGATGTCCTATAACTTACTAGATAATAATTGCACTGGACTGTATCTAAAGGTTTCCAGCCCCTTCTTCAGGCTTTCACAAATCACTTACCTTTCTTCAGAAACACCCAATCCCTTTTACTTCAGCTAAAATATTTCTTATTACTCCATATCCTTGATATTACCCAATATATGAAATACCTTTAGTCAACTCAGTAGACAATTTCCTTCCTACTTTTAAAAGAAATCTGGGTAAGTAGAGAAAGTAGGATGAAAACTAAAGGGGTGAAAACTGATGTATCTGTGTATCACAGAGAACTGTCCCCAAGAATGTCTCTAGTGACCTGCAGAGCCAACATGAAAACTGACCCCTCAAATCTTTGACTCCACAGTGTGTTATTTCCTGTGCTCCGCCTTTCCTCTGCCTGCAACAGACAGTCCCTCACTCAAGATCTTTAGTGTTTTCATTAAAGGACCTGAAATAAGTAAGAAGTATTATGTATCTTAGGCAAGCCTACTTTCAGAAATCTGGAATCCTAGACTTCAAACATATTATCTATGGTTGCATTTCCCTTTTCTTTTACTGAGGACCACTGTATTTCTCCTTCCATTCACATCTTTGGGCACTTTGTAGAATTAACATTGTACATGTCTCTATGTGGATTTTGTCAGAACACTGCTGATAGAATCTGCTATAGGATGCAGGTGATAAACTGTTGATCAGTATGAAACAAAGGCTGTCCTTAGACTGAGGACATGATCAGAAGTGATTTTATTATTTAAAATATTTATGATTTTTAGTAAGATATGAGCTCCCTCATTTTTATTTTGAAAAAGGAGCATTAAAATATTGAGAAAAATGCTAATGGTGGTTATCAAGGAAAGCAAAACATTAATTTCCTTTAAGTGAGTATAAAGAAAAAAGAAATATATGTATATGTTATATGTACATGTGTGTATGTTTATAATACTCACATTGTATTTGCATAGGTGGTTAAGGCAAGTGTAAGATAGAGTGGATTGAATAGGCATGTTAAGGTTACCTGAAATAAGATAGACCAAATGCACCTCATTTTTTAAGCAGTTTCAAAAGCCATTTCACAAAGAATAGGTTTCCAGAGTAACCTTAAAAAAGATTCATTCATGTATATATCCATGTGTGCAGTTCCTCCTGAAATGTTTTTTCTGTTTTACCACTACAAAAAAAAAAAAAAAAAAAACAGGCTTAGCAAGGACTTTAAGTAGAAAGAAACAAAATATAAAAACTAAAGAAACTAAAATCCAGGAAATAGGAAAAAAGCATTTTTATTACTTTAATATATTTTTAAATGTGTAAACACTTAATAAATTCTATCTGATATAAAATTTACTGGTTTTCAAAGTTTATAATGCCACAAAAAAGTGAACCTAGTTTCTTTTTTTCTTGTTCATTGGAGCTATCACATCTCATTGATCAGACCTCTAAGTAGAATTTTGTAAGTGGGGTACTCTCTCACGCCCAAAGACTATGTAATTAGCATATGAATGTGTAATGGATTGTGTGAAGTAACAATTAAGAAAACAATATATAAAGGAACTGAAAAGAGCTACCAACACCTGGGAGTCTTGTACTGAAAAAGCTTTCTTAATATAAGTAATTAGAAACCAAAGACAAATATTCATTGTGTAGGGATAAAGTCCACAAGGAAAGTTTAAAATTGGATGATATTTTCTCTAATCTTTAAGAATCATTAAAACAGGAGCTTACTTTTGTATTTATTTCAGTGGAATACTTGTTAAATACAGATTTTGTATGGTATCTGATCGGAAGCCCTCAAAATGCATTTATATATAAAAATGGGTTGCATTTAAAAATGTTTACCTTTAAAACATATAAAAGAGAACAACAAATCCTTTCTCTTATGGTTAATGCAAAGTTTTAAAGGAAAGTTCCAGTCGGTTGCCAGGTCAAAGCAAGTATACAGTCAATTCTCTGTAGTTTATTTATTAAAATAATTCCTACTAGTGAACCTCTGGCTTATATTGTTTTACTTTGCTTTGTTGCTCTGGAAGACATACATGCAACAGGGAGAACAATGCATAGTTCAGAAGTGTTAGAATCCTCACTGCTGGAGAGGGGTGAGTGGGTGAAGAGGCAGGCTGGGCACTACAAGTTCCAGTTTTGATGATTACCACCTCTACACGCTTACATTTCTTTGGCATAATTCCTCATATCTAAAATAGGAGTTTTTCTAGACTATTAAAAGTCTGAATCAAAGGATCTCTTAAGATCCTTCCTAAAATTCAGTTGTATTTATCCCTTTATCATGTAGAAACACTTATCCTCAGATTTGAGACTAATTCAGTTTGTTTGGGGTAGAGGATGGCAGTACTAGAGTTTGAATGCAGGGCCTTGCACTTGTTAGGCAAGCATTTTACCACTTGAACCATGTCCCCAGTCCTTTTGCTTTTTAAGTTTGTTTTTCAGATAGGATCTTGAGCCAACTTTTGCCTGGACTGGCCTCCAATTGCAGTTCTCCTATCTCCACCTTCTGAGTATCTGGGATTACAGATGTGAACCCTCTTACCTGGCCCCTAATTTAGCTTTAAATAGCTACTATTATAAAAAACAACTGTGTTTGAAAAGCACATTGTGAGTTTAGTATTTTGTCTTCAAGCAGAAATACTATATAGAGAGAGTTTATTTATTTATATGATTTAATAAAAGCATTATTCCTAACAGCCAAAAACTAGAAGCACCTCAAGTATCCATTAATTGATAAATAAAATGTAGTATCAAAACAAAATTATGCCAGGCAAATTTAATCAGGCAAGGAAAAGTTGTTCAAGGCTATTACAATAGTGACGAGGAGTCAGAACCAAGTCTGAGCTCAACTCTAATGAAGCAGAGGGTGCAAAGACCCTAAAGGAGATGAGCTAGTGATAAAGTACTGTAGGACCTTTGAGGGTGCTTGTAGGTTGTCTGTGTTTGTTGATTGACTTTATCCAAAGAAAAAAATAAACTCATGTTTTTGCAACTTATAGCAAGCTTCCTCTCTGAAGGTGGGATCCTACCCTCAACTGAAGCTGTGAGGTAGGGTTGCTACCTCCCTTAATGCTTATATTTCAATGGCATGGTTCCAAGCAACTTCGCAAGTAAGTTTCTAAGGTGTGAAATTTTGGGTTGGCTATTAAAAATATCTATATCTCAACGGGGCAGAGGAAGATTTTACATTTCTAAGGTAAATGCTATAGGAAAACAGAGGTCAGGATCCTGTCCAAAGTTTAAACTGAGGGGAATGTAAGGATGTCTTATTCACCATATAGTGGAATATTCTTGGTTAATAAAAAGGAATGAAGAATTGATGTGCTATAATCATGGATGAACCTTGAAAACATTATGCAAAGTGTATGAAACTGGTCACAAAAGTCCGTATATTATATGATTCCATTCACTTGACATGTCCAGAATAGTCACATCTATTGACAGAGTAAGTTGGTGGTTGCCTAGGGCTGAGGGTGGGTAAGGGAGGGGCATGGCAGCTAAGCAGATAGAGTCTGGGGAGTGATGAAGGTGATGTAATACTGCATGTAGGGATGGTTGCATGAGTTTGAAAATATATTAAAGCCATTGAACTGTACATTTAATGAGCAATTTGTTTGATGTATAATTTATACTTTAATAAAATTATTGTAAAAAAATAAAAATGTTAAAATATTCAATATGGCTAATAGAATATTTACCTAGATATATAGGTAAAAAAATTTTTAACAAATTTCTCCAACGTAGGTTTGGTCTCCTAGTAATCTGTAAATTCTTTTTAATAACTAGCCTGCCTTTAGCTTTTATAAAAGAGTTTAAAAGTTATTACCATGTTATATTAATCAGAGAGTATGTAACATGGAACAGAGGAAAATATTTTTTGATATGTTCTTAGTATATTTGCATTCCACAAATAATCAGAAACTTCCAGTAAGGACAAAACAACTGTCTAGAGTGAGTAAGAAATAGTTTCTTTTCCCAACTAATAAGAAAAGTCAGTATACTGCACGTGTGTACATGTGTACGTATGTGTGTGTATTCAAGTGAAAGCTACATGGTCTGGAGGCATGACTCAAGTGGTAGGGTGCCTGCCTAACAAGTCCAAGACCCTGAGTTCAAATCCCAGTACCATGAAAAAAAGGAAACAAAATCAAATGGAAGCTATCCTGGCAGAACGCCAATTTATGAATGAATAAAATGTCACAAGTTCATTAATCAACTAATTGTAGCCTTTCTACAGAGATAGTTTTGTCAGCATTGATCAGATTCCTAACACAACCTTCAAAGATTTGCTTTATCCATGATGTAGCTGAAATGGAATATTAATGTTTGCATAGTCTGGAATTAAGGGGCAATGCACGTAAAGGAAGGCATGAATTTGTAACATTCCTGTTTCTTGGGCACAGGTGTGGCTACAGGCAAAAGTCTGAATTACACAGAGTGAGACTTTGGCTTCCACCCATCTTTCTGTCTGTACTCCTTGCCCCAGGTTCTAGACTGAAGACTGTTTCTCTAGGCCATGAGTCACCTACCACCTTTATGATGTCCCAAGCTTCCCACTGCATCACTTGCACCAGGCTTTTCCATTCTTCCAGGGACAAATTCATGCACAATGAATTTATGCTTAAATTCCAGTTTTCTCAAGATAGCTAATTTCATTTTATATTAGAAGGGAAGCAAATTTTGAGGATATTTTGCTAGCCTCTGAGGCTCTTTGAAACACAGAAAAAATCTTGGGTCTTAACTTCAAAGTATCTTTAATCAATAAGATTTCAGATACCAAACATAGAAAAAGGTAAGAAAAATTTGGAGTTATAATAAGCTGTCTCTTCTGATCCAGTCTTTCTTTGGGATGATGCCTCTAAGTTGTTCCAGAATGTTTGCTTTGTTTCCTTCCCAAATTTTAGCACTCTTTAAAAATTACTCCATAAATTTTATAGTATCTACTAGAATGGGGTTAAAGACAGATACTAGGAAAGTAATGTAGAACAGAATAGTCCATTTATGATGTGAGTGATTTGAATATCTTATACTTTAAAATTTTTGAACACATATTTTTCTGCAAATTGATCACTTGATTTCTCTTGGTTATAGATTGGACATATGGATACTACAGACAACATAGAAAACTTGTTGAAGAGATTGGCTGGTCTTATACAGGTAAATGTATTACTATATAGTGAGTTTCAATGGAAAATATTATTGCTTTTGTATCTCATATATAAAAGGAAACCTTGTAGCTAAATATAGCATTTTAGCTTATCTACCTGATAGACCAATTAGTTAATAAAATATATTAAATGCAAAATGATTACTGATGAACTTCTCATAAGAAACTTTGTATTGTAGAACATACTGGAATCATGTAGAGCTGAATCTGAATCCTAGACCCACTCCTTGGAAATATGCATAATCTGTCTGAGACTCCTAGTCTTTTTCATCTGTGGAATGGAGGGTTGTTACAAGCATTGAATGAGATAAATGAAGTTTCAGGCGCTTGGTACAGAGCCTCCTTCTGAGCAGAAAGCTCTCAGTAAATGTTAGCTGCCTGGTGTTTTGATCATGCTAGTGATTACATGCATTCATTGAACAAATGTTGGTGGCATTTTTGTTCTGTTCTCAGAAAGAGCTCCCTTCTGAATTAGTACGACTGAGTTCATGGGAGTCAGAGTCTCATTTTGTCAGATTGCCAGACTTGGTAATCATGAGTGACTTGAATATCTGAAGTTGGCTAGGAATAGTTCCAGCCAGAAATTGTGATCGGAAATCCTGGGGAGAGAAGAAACATAGTCCTGATTGAAAGAACATGGGTGGAATTTGGATGAACCATATGTGTCTGGTGATCGCTTGGGAGAGTGATAAGCATTAGAGATGGGGACTCATTAAAAATGAGTGAGTTGATGAGACAGAATCAGATTAGAAGGGATTTGCCATAATGACCAATTGGGACTGTATTTCATAGATGAAGTCCAGCAGAATGTTGAATTTTGTGGAGAGGCATGTATTTTTCTTTGTTTTTTATTCTTACATTTAAATTAGTAAGTATTTGTTGTAGAAAATATGTCCAAACAAAATGGAATATAAAAATTACTCATATATTCACTATGAAAACATTAGGGGCCTGTCAGGAGAGTTTTTGTTATCTTAGGGCTTTGTATCCATTTTACTTTTGAAATTATCTTTGTGCCTTTCAATGATGATTCCTGTTGATCATGATACTTAATGTCTGTTCAATACTCCATTGGGGAAAACATTATTTTTTAACAACTTCCCTTATTTTTGGATAGTTAAGTTTCTCTAAGTAACGACAAGATAGATATGTTCTTATTTTCATCTTTATCATTTGTTTGCTGGAGAATCCTTGATATGCAATTGTTGAATAGAAAAAGAAGTAAGTTCTTTTGAGATTCCTGATGCACGCTGTCTAGTCTCTATCTAAAGAGGATGCACCAACAAAATAAGTGACTCTCCCATTTAATACTACCCAGGATTGATGCTTGGCATTTTCAAAATCTTTATTAACTTGATGAATTTTTTAAATGACATTGTGTTGTTTTAATTTTTAATTTGCTTTTGTTTGATTTCCACTGAAAGTCAAGATTTTAAAACATGGTAAATTAGAACTTGGAAAACAATGCAGGCATCAATCACAGCAGGAAAAAGTGAACAAATGAAGACATATCTGCACTGCGGGTTACTCCACAGAGTGGTACAGGTAGCTCTCTGTGATGCTGTTTGAAAACATCTGTCCTTAATTTACTTATTTATAATAATCTATAAATTGATGTAATACATTTTTTATTCTTCAAATTCTAAAAAGGAGCAAACTTATCCACAATTCTACTCCCATTAAAATTATTTAAATAATATTTTCTTTTTTGTTTCTTGTTCTTGCTATTATATACCAAGATAATAAATAGCCATGACTATTTAATTAAGCAGTATCTTGTCAGAGAAAAAAAAAGGACTCCAATGAAAAGTATTGTTAGATCAAGGGGCCTAAATGTATATGTATCTCAGATATATGTATCTCAGAAAATTATGTTACTTTATTTCCCCAACCACATTTTCACTAATATTAATTATAAAAATTTTAATCAATTTGTTTGGTAAGAAAATAAAATCTCATTTTTGATATGCTTTTTTCCCACTGTTTCATTTCTTCAATTACTCCAAACAACAGTCTAGGTTAGGGCATTGGGGGGACATATGTTGAATAAGTATTGCCTGAGTTAAAGGTAAATTTGAATAAGAAGGGTAGAAAACAAGCAACTCCTAGCTTGTTGGTTGAGATAGGGTCTCTAACTTTTTGCCTGAGTTAGTTCAAACTGTGGTCGTCCCAATCTCTACCTCCCAAGTAGTTGGAATTACAGATACGTACCACCTTGCCCAGCTGAGAGCAAGTAAGTTTTAGACAGTAATATATATGTATTGATAAAAGGGAAGGTTTTCCTGTATATTTTATCTATGATATTGATTGAGTTATACATTCCTTAACTAATGTAATAAAGCATTGCTATCTCTCCAAAAACTGTATAATTTTATATGCTTTATATCTGACAATACAACCATATTGTCTTTGTTTTCCTCCAAAAAATAAATCATAGTGTTGTACACAAAAAAGTACAGCTAATTTTTACACACACACACCAGACAATTGAGAGGGATGTTGAATGTATGGAGAGTGTCCCTTATCACGGACAATGACTTCTCAAGCGACAGTTCTTCCATTCTGTAAAATACCTGATGTCATCAACATCTGGACCATATGTAATGCAAGATCTCTTTTTAAAGGATTTATTTAGGTAACACTAGTAGTGGTTTGGGAATGCTGCTTCTGGGTTGAAATTTTCTCCAAGGAGTTTTTCATAAGTATGGAAGTTTTAATGTGTTTTGGCCTTTTACATTTATACTTTTAAAAATTAACCAATTGCTTTTAAGATGTTTTTATTTAAAATAGTAACATACAGCAGTTATAGATAAGTTAATACACAAAGATGTTCAAAGAGTAAGTCAGCTTGATTTAGTTTGTTAACAACAAACTTCCTCATTTCAAAAGTAGAGCTAAAAACAGGTTATTTTTCTCCAAAGAATGAACCTTTAATCAGAGAACTCAGGAATGTACACATTAAATGAAAAACAAATGAATGCACTCTCTTTTCACCCCTAAGTCCAGAATCAGAAAATGGAAGACCCGTGCTGAGAATTACAGTTCTCAGCTCTCCATGCAAGGAGAGATACATGCTGTCTGATGGAGTGATGATGGTGGTATTTTCCATCAGCTCAGGTCCTAGTGCATCTGGGTGTCCTCATCAGGTCAGGAGAAGAAGCAGTATTACTGATGGGATTTAGTAGACAAAAGAACAATAGCACAGCACTACACAGTATCCTGTTATCTTAGGAGTCAGCCAAGGAGCACCCTGCTCTCAGTGGGCTGACTGAGCATGGACAGGGCGCCGATGGAAGGCCAGGCTTTCTTGACTGTGTCTTTACATATGCAATGCACAGCTCTTTCCAGTATGAACAAGCTTCATGATTCTGTTGATTCTGTTCATAATCTAAACTCTGTTGATATTAGCTCCTTTCAGGAACAGTTTCATGATCAGAGGGATTAAACTATAAAAAAGGTGACATTTGTTATAGTGAATGAATTATTTACAATAGAGTTTTTTATATCATTTTACTTTTTAACACAAGTATTTAAAGTTGGGTATAATTTTCAATACTATGCTTATTATTCCATGTAGAAAATGAAAAATTATGATTACTGAAAAGTTTCAAGACAAATTAATATTAAGATTTTTATGAATGGCTCACGTAAATTGGTCTTGACCTCATTAGTCCCGTTTTGTCTATAACAGCTTATATTCTTCAGGTACATGTTTGTGTTCCTTCTTATATTGTGTTATTTAAATTTATCAAATTAGCTAAAATATTACAAAGACTTGCCTTTGAGTTTTTGTAATAGAATTCTATTAATAATTATATTAATAAAAATTATGAGTAATCATAACATCGTCCAGTAAGTGCACTCATCATGCTACCGTAAGTCATTTTAAATACGTGACACATCAAATATGATTTAAATGGAATCACTTAAGTTGAAGTTGTTTATCAAAGATTATACATACAATTATACGAGGTGAAGTAACAATACATATTCTGTAATAACTACCAGAAGGGTGGAGAAATATAGGGTGGGAAAAATTACTCTTTACATAGGTTGTGTTTTTTACATAGATTAAAATGCCCTTTCTATTCAGAATGTATGCTGTAATTATGTGACGAAATGAGAGGGTCGGTCCACATGGTCGACCAGCCCATTTTTAAAGTTGTTAGTGTCACTGTGATGAAAGAGTGAATTGTAAGTCTGGGAATGTCAACACTAAGAATCTGATTCTTCTCATAATAACTTCATTCCATTTAAGGATTTCATAAAATGAATTTCATTTTTCCCAGTCACATATTTCTGATGACAATGTCTAAGCAAAGATATTTCGTTGTGAAGAAAATACCATCATTTTGTCTTTCTTTTTTTAATATCACAAATACTTACAAGTAAAGACTATCATAGATGTTAACTTCCTTTCACTTGAGTTGTTAGATCTTTGTACCTTAAGCAATGATAAAATCACCAGAAATCAGTTGTCTTTAACTGCTCCATTCTTAGGGGTAGTCACTATTGAAATATAATCTTTGTTTCCTCTACTTATAAAGGTATTATATTGTTTAATTTTTAACATTCTATAAATCAACTTTGGAATTGAACATTTTATATTAATATATTCTAGGGTGCTTTTACACCTAAAACACCTTTAACATTTTAGTTGAAAGGTTTCTGACTGGGTAGAAGTCAGAAAGTATAGCTGTTCTGGCTGCCATGAACCACTTGAATGGATTACCTCAGAATGAGGAAACCTTAAAGAACAGAATTGATTCTGTTTCCTGAAATAGAATATCTTTCTAAATAATCTTTCCATCCTGGTAGATACAAGGAGTAAACAATATTACTTCAGAGAAACAAGAGCCATAATATGAGGTTGGGTGTAGCGTGATTTGGTATTTGGCCTTGTTTTTTGAATATATAGTTAGGTTTAGTCTTTTCTTTCCCTTGACTTGGGAGAAAGTAGCCAAACTCAAAGAAAATTGGAATCCAGGTA